AGTCGATGTTAAGCTTCAGAGAATGTAGCAGATTTAGACGGAGTGTACGGAAGATTTGTGTGGAAGAAGTGGGAAGACTAGAATTAATAGATGAATATAAAATGAAATCAAGACAAAGAAAAAAATATGAGCAGCATAGTGCAGAGTATGACACAACTGCTGTACAAATGGATTTATTGTGTGCTGTAGAAGGCTGATTCAAAAGCCTCGGGAGTTTCTCTCTTGTTTTTACCCTCTGAACCCTTTATTATCGACCTGTCTGTGATGTCCACAGTCGCAGCCACATTATGAACTGGTGGGACGAGGTGATCGTTTGAAAACCAGCTTTGAGGATTTGCATGTATGTTCGGCTGGAGTATCATTCACAGCACATCTGTCACATTTCCACTGGACACTGCTGTGAAAACTCTACACCGTTTCCTAAAAGTATCAAATTGTACCCGAACACGTTTCTCACCACTCTCGTACTTTTACATTTTAGCATTGCAAGCGTGTTGTCAGTATTACCACATCTAATTAAGTTTAACGTGGCTGATTCTAATAAACTGATAGTTTTCACCACAGCGCTGTCTCTGCTGCAGGCCTCTCATTGATATCAAAATACACTGGAACACTATCATTTTGTTTGGATGCACACTCACAGTTCACAGCTGTCTGCCAACCATGTCTCTGTATACTACTGCTCTCCATTGTTGTGCTTATTGTCAATTAAGTGAGTCTGTGTGCTCCCAAAGGGATTTATAATTCATTGATGTGGTTGATTTATTAATAACACACAGTTGAATAAAAGCTCTGGCCTCCCCTTCTGTCGCTGCAGGTGTAGGTGCTGCCTCTAGAGCCTTGAAAATGTGTCTCTGAAAAGTTTGCAGCTTGCTCTGTGCCAGATTAGAGCAGCTCTAGTCAGCTTGAATTCAGCGTGGTTGTGAACGAATTTCAATACCCAGAGTCACGACACAAACAAGGTCTTAAAACATTTGTAGAAACTTCTCCTGCAGTGTTATCAACTTTAACTCTGTCCATCCACACCTGAGCTGTATTTGATTGACAGCTTGATGGATATACCCACCAGTGACTGAGTTGGGGGGGGGGGTATCCTGGTGACCTTTTCACTTAATGAGCGTTTCCACCCTGAGTCATCATTAATGCTATTATACATGTATTCTACTGTATATGCATGCTGATGGCTATATATAGAGTCAGCTTAACATAAAGATGAATTTGATAGATACCATTCACCTCCATTCATATCCAAAGCTCATTAATTAAAACAGTATATCTCACGCATTTCATCTGTTTAAAAACCAAGGTGTGAAAACCTGAGGAGGCCTACAGAGGGTCCACCGCTGGACAGAACTCGCTCCTTTCCTACTGTCCTTATGCTAAGCTACGTGCTGTAAACAAGAGAGGTATCAATCTTAACGTCAAATAAACATAGAAAATAATATTATGAAAAGGGATTCATGGCTTCCACCACTGTTGTGTTCTTGGTGGAGAGGAACAGCCCCTCAGACAACACCAGTATTCTAATTCTAATTATCTTCCTAATTGTTGGTCTTTTGAAAATGTCACACTGGAATCAATAATGATTTAAGCACTTTGTATTCTACATTTTCTATCATATTCATGACTGATTTCAGACCGGATGTTTACTGAAAGACTAATAACCACCTTATAGATCAGTAGGAACACAGTTGGCTGCCTCTTGTTCTGTCAAGGCCACAGGTGTTGATCGTGTCCTTCAGTCTTGTTACTCCTGTCTGTCATGGATTTGGGGAAAATAACACTGACACTATTTACAAATCATTTTCTCTCTTGTGACAAATGAGTCGACATAAGGAAGTATATAAAAAAGATAATATGTAAATCAACAGCTTTTTCTGAAGCGCTAAATATATATATATATTCATCATGCCTTAAATATTTATGTTGTTGCAGTTATGTTCAATAATGAAAGTCTCCTGAATAACTGGACAGTTAACTGCTTCTTTAATTCTCAAATAGACAGTTAAAGGGAACAGGGTGACTGGTATTCCTATATTTTTAAGTCAAGTCAAATTTTATTAGTTTTATACCTCCCTACTTTCCAGGGGGGGAAACACCAGAGAGAGGTGAGAACATGAAATGTAAACCAAATTTATTTTCAGACTACTCACACTTTAAACCACAGCTTGTAAGCGAATGGCTATAAGTCCAGTTTCAAGGCACGTTGCTGTACCAACCCCCGATACGATGTCAGCTGATGAGCTTCTCCCGAACAACCTTTGATGGATAGATGGAATATCATTTCCGCCTCTGGTGCAGCTCTGCTTCTCAGAGATGCTTTTAAAAAAATGGCTACATCCCAAACTGATTTATTGTAATTGAAATGGCTATTTTAAAAGACTCGTGATGTCCCTTGTGTCTATAATATACTACAATGTTCAGATTGTTGTGTCCTCATAAACCTGCTGATGGGCTGTGAAACACTGTACTGGACTGTAATGGATCTGAAGTGGTGAAATAATAATCATGATCATACAAGCTGTAATGGTTCCTCCATTGATTTAAACCTTTGACCAGGTACTAACACATCAAAATCCTCTTTTTTGATTTATACATGGAGAAGGATTTTTTTGTGGTTCTGGGTAATTCGCCAACAGACGTATGTGTGTCCATGTAATTACATGTTTGTCATTAATTAGATGTATCTGTTTATTTCCTCCTTACTTGTGAGAATGCCATATCGTCTATTAAATGTGGTAAGCTCTGAAAATGTTTTTTTCTTCTCAGAAATGACTACATTGAAACTGATAATAGAGACAGATGGTTTTTCAGCACCATTACCATTTAGTGCATTTAGATTGCGGTGTTATTCTAAATCCTGTTTCCCATCATTGAGGTGACAGGTTGCAGTGAGCAGAGCAGTAACATGTACTGTATAGGTAAGCGTGAACATTTCAAACAGCCAGGACCTTTTTTCAGGCATTCTTCTCAGTTTGGTAACAGAAATACTCACATTGCTTGTCTGTATACTGGGTGGTGGACGGCAGCAGAATGAGTTACCATGAAGGGGAAATGTGGGAGCAGACACACTGTAATCAGCCTGTCCATCTCAACACTGGGCTTCAATTACTTTGCGGATGATCACACAATACCTTCCATCCTTTCCCTCTTCAGTAAAAACCCAGACAACACTGGTTCTTACAGCAATGTTGGTAGAGACGCACATTTTTATTTTCATGTTGCTTTTTTGGGTTCTTCAAAACCAGTGTGCTCAGATGTTAGAAAAATGTTGGTCATTTTCTTAGCTGTGTGAGTGATAGTACCCCATTTTAACACTAGTAATTATAATAATGATGTTCACTATTCATACTAAATTAAGTCCAATTGTTCATTAAATAAATGATCTGGTATCATATCTTTTTATATTTTTCTCACTGTAAGGTCCTCCATAGATTCTTTATTGTTCTCTTATAATATTGGTAGCACTGACCGTACTGTGGAGGTGAGACTACATGTTGTGTTTATAGGGTCTAACATCTCCGAGTGTGCAACACTTGGATACACTTCTCCACTTCAGCAGAGTTTACCTTTAAAGATTCACATGCTCAGTCGAAACCAATGGGTCTCGGGGCTAAATGCAACAGACGGGTTTGTGAGTTTGGATCGTACTGACAGATTAATGGCTTGTTTCCAGTTTTGTGTTAGTAATTTCATATAATATACAGACTACGCACCCTGATGTTCAACTCAAGTACAAAAGCATTTTTCACCAGTCAGAGTCTAACTGCCAGGTGTGTAGCTAACCTTGTGAAATGCTTGCAGTCTGTGTTTCACAGCTAACAGTTTACCAAGGTTAGCTAATAGCCTGCAAGCCAATTAATTTTTATGCTGATTTCCTGTAGCACAGTGTCGTCTGTCCAAAATCCACCAAAAGTAAAACTTTTTCAATTCACTTGCTGTAAGAGATTCACTCACACATAGGATTCCCATAGGATTGAATGGACTTCTGCATATACCCACAGAAATGCGCAAATGAGGCATGACACCAGCTGCATGGTTGTCACGGTAGTTTTAACAAACACATGTGCACACCTGTTACAAAACTGAAACTTGGGTACGAAGGCCAACTCTCAAATCTGAAAACATTTCCAATCGCCCAAAACAGCTGCAAAGGTATTGTAGAGCAACAGCAAGACAGAAACACAACTCATGCGAGGTTATATACATTTTCTCAGAGAGGGCCACACAGCTATGGAAAGCAAAGGGAGCGAACTGCGACCTGGCATTCATGAGTTTTACACAATGCCGTTTTCCGTGTGAACACCCAGCACCACTGTATTTGACATTAAGAAATACTGAACTGCACTAGCAAGCAACGAAACGTGTCCTGTGCCCATACAAAAAAAGTATAAGTAAAAAAAGTATATTGACAAATAAATATGATTCACTTACATAATTACTAATGGGCCTTTTCTAATAGATTTTTTTTTGTTTTGCAGATTTCTGCTGAGAAAGACCAGAAACTGTAAGAAAAATAGATTGTTAGTGAAGCATTAGTTGTGATTTTTGTGGTGTGTTGTGTTTATCGATGCACAATGCAGTGCACAACCACTGTCCAATTACACAACCAGACAAATATTCCAAGCTTTGTTGAAACAGAAAATGTGTACACAAAGCATTGATTTAGTGTACATAGAAGTCATCTTTCATCAACTCAGTAACCTTTCCACAATCATAAGATTTATGATTACATATGATTTGCATTGAAGTAGCAAAACAATCAGCTGATTTCATTATAAAACAGACTCGTTTGGTTCGTGTAAATAAACCTTTAACTTTCGTGCTTGTCTTGAGTAAGTGTAAATTGATGCGTTATTCTGTCTGAATGCAACAGAAGGTTAAAATCTTGTGCTTTGAAATTTGCTGGTGAAGTGAACCGGTTTATATTTGGGTCACAGATTGTGCCTTTGAAGATCTTCTGTGTGAACTGATTAAACCACAAAGCAGAGCAATAGCAATCGTTTTGAGCTTGTTTATTTGAGTTATGGACAATAAAGCTTCATCACAGGAGCCCCCTTGAAAGCTGTACTACATCCCTCACGTACACAAAAAGAAACCAACACCATCTTGACCTGCTGAAAGCTGTGGTGGACAGTCGTACAGCGAGTGCAGTTTCAAAGGTTAGGGCTGGGGGAGGGGTGGCAGAAGCATATGATTATGAGTTCAGTGGAAGAGCACATTGTCACAACAGCAGCAGCAGCAAAAGCAGTGCTTCTCAGGCTAAGAGGGGTTTACAGTGTGAACTCCTCCTCTCAGATTTTCATTGGGCTCCAAAGCCCCTCAGGTCGAGGAAGGTGGGCACATCAACTACAAACTTCCAGAGAAAAAAAGAAGAAAAATCACAGACATTGGGATTCATTGCAGATTACCTGTTTCATTTCCTACAAAAATATTGCACAAAAATCTGAATATACAGTGACAGAGAGAGATTGACAATAGCAGCCAAAAAGCCAATATCTACATGAGCAACATATCGAATATATTAAAAAACACATGAAATAGTCCTTTGCTTCCACTAAAGTCCAATTCATGCTTTCTGCATCTGGGTGTCCACAAAATAAACGTGTTATCTGCCCGAGTCAGCTAGGGTTTGCGTGTGCCCTACGTGATCCGCATGCGACCCAAAATATGACACTACACAGACTGTTCACACAGCAAGCACGCTGACTGTGCATGCGCCACAAAAGTGAATAAGATGCTTGTGTAGTGCAATGTGTCATGATGTTGTACTGTACTCCACATCCTTTTGCGTCCTATTGCAGTCATGCAACGTTTTTTGGAATTTTTTCATGTTGTTAAGCCAAACAGAAAAAAAAGAGCTCATCTCACTGTCAAGACGTTAAAATCATGTTTTCTTGTGTACGTGTGAAACGTGTCCACTGCAGTGAAGTCCACCAAGTATGATCAAGGCTCAAGTCTGGCTCATGACTTCTCTTATACCATTAGTTTAGACGAGCCGTTTTGGTGTTCTACTGCATTAAAGGAAGATTCTACCCACTGCTAAGTCGAAATCAACTGGTTTTCAGTGAATCTTTATATGTGGAATTCTAACTTTGTCTCAACACAATCCTAATGCTAGCCCTAAAATAATGTTTCCCAGCTCCCAGGGCATAGGCTGCTGCAAAGGTAATGATTATTTATAATTCTTGTATTATTTACTGTTATGCAGTGTTGAGATTATGGTCAGCCTTTAAGCTAATCAATCAATCTGAAGAGCAAATGTCTTTCAATCAAACATTGGCACTACACTTATGTCTCCTCTGAGTTCTCACTGACAATTTGTTGAGCGCCACAATTCTGATGAGCTGATCTGATAACCTGCAGACAGTTGTTGATATTTAGAGAAAGCTACCAAACTCAGCCTCTCTAATTCAACACAATCAAACTCAATTGTGTTTACTGTGCTGGAAATATCTGCAGTGGCACTGGTTGACAAGATAACCAACAGAAGAAAGAAAGAAAAGGACATAGACAACAAAATAGTTTTAGCAATTTCTCATGGGTTTAGGATAGATTTTTCCTTGAGATACACAAAAGTAAGATATACCCTCTTGACAAGCAGTTCTTTTTCAGAGGCTCTGTAAGGGTGTCAAAGATGAACAGCAAGGCATTTTGGGAGCAGTAGATAGTATAACAATGATTCCATTGTAATAAGCTACATCAATGCTTGATTGATGGTTTCCTGGGAAACAAGGGAAGGTGGTAGCAAATAGTTGCATAAAAACACAACAGAACCATCCGAACATACATTCATTTGGGCATGAAAACAACTCACACAGTCAAAAGATCGGCACTTAATCACATCACAGCTCCTTGAAGTAGCCCCTTGACCTAACCTTCGAAAGTAAATGCCTGACCCCAACCCTTAGCCCTAATGTAAACCCAATTGCAGCTGTGAGGACAAAGCAACATTTCATTACAACAAGGGTTTCAGACCAACATTTGTTCAAACAACCATAAAAAAAAAAAACACATTAAAGCAGATAAATAAATAAATGTTGGAGAATTTCAACATCATGAGAGATTCTTGGTAACTATCAATGAAAAAGAGACAATGATGTGCCTGTCTCATCTCATCCATGTCAGTTTGCTATGTGCCTTAGTAGAGTTATAGACGTTGAATGGGTAATGTGAACAGAATGTAACTTGTCAAGAGAAAACCATACATACATATTAGAAAAGAAATAGAACCCAGGAAAATAACATTTTTACATCCTTCAAAGAAATAACTATGGGTTATAACACGTTTGACGTGACAAACAAATAAACCAACAGAAAGAGGCAAATTATATATTAGGTTTCATTTATAATCATGCTGAAATCACAAAGAGTTTTTGAGCAGGGAAAGTCACTTCTAAAATCCAAATATATGTTATGGTAAAAAAGTACTCAGAAGCAAAGGATATGTATGACTGCTTGCAAGGACATTAGACAAACACAGAGGTGGATGTGTAAACCTACTTTTCCTTAGTAGTTCACATTGATATTGACTCAAACATTTCACCTTCATATGGACTTGTTGTTCACAACAAACAAATATTAAATACATACTTTTTTTTCCTAAATCAAGATAATTCTGACTAGCAGCACAGAAATGTGCAAATAGTCCAAAGTCCTTAAGTCAAAGCAGTTACAGACAGGAAATCAAACCAAATCAAATTCTTACAATGACCTTTTGAAGCCAAAGAAAAAAACAAAACTGAAGGATGAATGTGCAGCACTACTGAGGGCAGACAAGTGTAGCTTTCAAGTTTCCCTTTAAAACTCCAGAAACACATGGAAAGCATGGGGACGGCATCACACTGTGCAAATCAAAACATCAATGACAGGATTACCATGACTCATTAGGGAGAAAATTCCTTTACCCATCATACCTCATGTAAAAATTAAGTGGATCAAAAACTGGACCTCAACAACCCCAATGTTTAAAACAGACTGCTGCAATTCCCGTCCAAATAGGATACTCTTTCGTAGGGGGAAATGTGCACAAAGCATGTTCCTCTGCCTTATTTTTTCTAGTCTTATTTAGTGGAGGGCCTCCACACAGATCTGCTCCTCAGTAATGTCATCTAGCAGTTGCACCTCCACTGGGCTGCAGATGTCACTGTCATAGACCTCAGTCCCCATCGGGGCTTCATCTTCTAGGCCTTCTCCTTTTCCTTTGAAACCTTGCTGCTCTGAAGGAGAGGTGCTCTCCACCGACTCTAGGTCTTCAATCCCAGCCCGGTAGTGGATCATTAGCAAGGTAAGGGCCTGCAGTCTCTCTCCAGACTTGGCCAGGGCAGTACCAATAAGGGCCTTGCGACGGGCATCTGTGGCCTCCCTCTCCTCTAGAAGAAGGGCATTATTGTGCTCCAGCTCCTGGTCAATTTCCTGCTGCAGTTTATCCAGCATCAACTCAAGCTTCTGGGAGCGCTCATCTGTGGGCAGCCCCCGGTACAGGTCACGCCCTATCTCCTTCACAGCAATGAACACACTGTCATCCAGCCCACCTTCCTTGCGTACAAGTTTACTGCTGCCACCACTGCTGATGGGCTGCTTTGAGGGGCTGGCCCCACTGGTGTAGGTCTCAGTATCACTGCTTTCATTGTCTGAAGTGTTGGGTGTATGCTTGGGTGAGGGTTCCACCACTCCAGGCACCACATCAACCACCTGCTCGACTAGCCGAGTCTTAGGCACCTGACGCAGATTAAGCAGGCGAGAGCTGGTGTTGATGATATGGCGGGTTAGTCCAGTCGCCCGGTTTATGGTGGATTTGGCTTCAGGGTCAGCTCCACGACGTTCAGTTGCTGCCACACAGAAGGGATTTTCAGAGAGGCACTTGTCCTGGCACTTCTTGTGGCAAACATAGGCGCAGATCATACACTGAGAGGCTGCCTTGGTCCAAACCTTCTTCTTACAGTATTCACACCAGGTGGGGATCTGGAACTGTGTGTCCTGGAAGTTGTGTCGAATCTCTACCAACTGCATGGTGCCATAGGCCAAGTCATCCCGTGGTGCTGAGGGGATATGTTCCCTTTCCCTCTCCTTTAGATCATCATCAAGAAGACTTCCCTCTCGCTCTTTTTCAACCAGCCCCCCTGGAAACTCAAATTCACCCTCAGCTAAATAGCAGAAGTTCAGAGTCACATCTCCGTAACACAGCTTCTCATTGAAGCCCTTGTGGGTGCCAAGACTCCGTAGTGCAGTGCGACTGACATTGGCTCTGGGTTCTGGAGGCCCTAGCCTAAAGGTGCTCTGGTACTCTGCTGAAGATGTGGCCATACATTCCAGGGCTACATGCTCCAGCTGGAGACTCACATGACCCAGACACAACAAACTACCCAGCTTAAAGGGATCTTTGCACCACAGGGCCACATTAAGGTACTTGTGATTGCTTTCTACATCAAACACCATCGAGGCTTTGGGCCAGCGTGCTGTCTGATTACGAAACATGGTTTCTGGAGATTCCCAAATGGAGTGGTCCTCTAGACTGTCTCGTGTGCTGCACGAGCTCTCTGAAGCTTTGTCCTTTGCTTGATCAACCCTGCTACTGCTGGTTGCAGTGGGGAAGGCTGGCAGCTCATCACTGGACTCATTTGGCTTAGTGGACTGCTTTGCGTCAGCCTGTTTGACACATATTTTCTCTGTGCCAGCCTTCTCCTCATTCGCTCCAGTGGAAAGAACCTTTTCTGGAGATTTTTCAGAAGCACTAGTGGCAGCAGTCACTATAGGACCAACAGTTGCATTAGAAGTTGTAACAGAATCAACACTGTCCAAAAGACTGGTTTCTGAAGAGGCTGATGTTAACCTTATCTGAGGTCTTGGTGGCACCGGGGGGCGAGAGGGAGGAGGTGGGGGAGGAACGGTGGGGCGCTGCAGACCCTCACCTGGATCACTACTGGTCTTATGTGGTGAGGGCTTTGGTGATTCTTTGGGATGAGGCTTTAATGGTGACTGAAGACCCACCAGGTTTAACTTGCGGTTTAGAATGGGTGATATGGTACCAAGGGGCTTGGAGGCCAAGTTGGCCACAGTCCTTTTAGGGCTTTGGTTTACTGTAAGTAAGAAATCCTCCTTAGTCTCACTGGTATTTGTGGTACTGTTACTACCAGTCTGACTAGGTTTGGAGTCCACAATCAACTCTTCAAACTCAGAGTCCATGTCTTTGCCATCGGATATGTCAGAAAGGGTGGTGATGGGGGCTGGGTCTTCCTCGTAGCCGCTTGGCTGGGGGATAAAACCGGTTTCCTCTAGCTGCCCAAAGCCTTCCTGAAGAGTTCCTAAGCTTCCCAAAGAGGAGGTCTGGTGACGAACCGGTCTCTCATAAAGGATCAGTACCCTGTCTCCAGCCTGCTTCAACAGTTTGGGTACTTGAACTGAGGATGTTACTTTGACACCTGTCAACAGAAACATCGGTGAGAGGGTTTTCAGTCGATAACATAAATAATTAAATGACAGTGTTAAAAAGTATTTGTACGATGTAAAAATATATTAATAACCAAATCTGGTGGTCTTAAGGATATTTTGTATTAACTATGTATACTAACAAAAAAGAAAAAGATTATGGCATTAAACCGATTATTGATGAGTGCATTGATATGTCATACCTCCAATGGCAATGAGGCGATCGCCCTTCTGCAGATCTGCCATGTATGCAGGAGAGTTGGGTGTGACCGTCTCAATGCTGACATGGACTGCATCCCCCTCAGTGGCAGGAACATGCCTGAAGGTCATCCCCACGCTGCCACATGGCCCCTTGATAACCTCCGTCTGATGCATACAGGTGATAAGAGAAAACTGAGCAATGAACACTGGCATTGGTATAAAGGTCAACATATGCATCTTTTTATGTCACAGCTGGTAGTATTGTTTTGTGCAAGAATAAGAACATATTTTCATTGATTTATATTAAATCCTGGATATTGATGGGAAAAAATCAGGTGCGTTTAGGGGACTGATATTTACGATTCTGTGCAATTTTGTAAAAATGTTCTTGCAATTTTAAAGAAAATGAAAAACCAAATTGTTATTGCATCTTCCTTGGGTCATGCCCCACCCTGCCACAAAAGTTCATGGAAATGGAATGTTTTTATATTTTTTGTGAAATCCTGATGAACGCAGACAGTACAGGTAGAGGTAATCAAACAGAAAGTCTCTGCTATTTCAAAGTAAATTTCCTAACTTGTATCTTTCAATATTTATGGATAACCCTGGTTTTATCATACATATTGATTTGGAAGAATTTAGAATATACTGAGTTTGGAAACATCATTTTGAAAAAATAGGTAGAAAGTATAGAAAACTATATTGATGAACAACGTTATTAAATCTCAGAATTCAACTGTACTTGGTAGGGAAACAATAATGTATGACTTACATTTATGCTATGAGAGTAAGAAACTTCATCTTGTAAAAAAAAACATGAGGGTATTGTCATATATGTTTGGTGAATAAAGCATGATGTACTGAAGAAAGTTGTGTGTTTGTCAATACTAAAACTGTATAATGCACCTGAGTTGTGGGCGGCCACCTGATGAGCAGTTTATCAGAGTATAAATAATTCTCATTTACCCTAACGTCAGTACAGTGAACTCCATTCCAGAACACTCAGTTTCTTAAAATGTGCATCCCTTTTACATGCAATGCATGAATGAAAACATATCTTTTGTTTACAAGAAAATCGGAAAGAAACTAAATAATAAATAACCAATTTGTACACTGCTGTTAATATTTTTAATGTTGAAAGTCTTATATTAACAGGGACTGTATTTTTTTGTCCAGATGCAAAAGAATGAGAAAAAAAAAACTGTATGATGACAAATGCTTCAACGGCTTCACTGACATCTGCCTCCAGCACTTTAACGAGAGACTCAAACTGAGAGTGGCAATTCTGTAGGAGAGGCGAGAGCTGCAATTAAACCGCCACCCCCGTCTGCGTTAATCACAGCCACTGCACACAGTCCAAGTCACATATCCCACAGCACACCTGTTGTGATGCGGAGGTGACCTGCTTCATGCCTGACAGGTCGTTTGTCAAATGACTGTACAGTACGGTGACATTTGCAACTCCTATGCTGATGATCATCTGCGTTTGTGTTCCATGTTATCTTAGCTGTGATTGGTGGAGACTGTCAGCGTACTGGAGACCTATGGTGGAATCTTTCCAGGTACAGGGGAAACAGCTAAATGAGGTGGAGGAGAAGATGGTGCGTGTGTCCTGATTCAACAGAGAGAGAAGAGGGGCAGACATGATGTGGGTTGACGGAGATGAATGACTGTAATTTCCCTTGCTGTCATTTGTTACGGGCTCTGGTAGAAGGCAGTGATTGAGTTAGGGCTGGCCATGAATAAACAGATGATCTATACAAGATGGAGAAGCTGGATTATAATAATAACTGACAACCAAATTGCTAAAAACCCTGCTCTCCTCCATCTGTTGGCAAGTTTCAATCACAAAAAGGAGTTTTATGCCATAGTGCTTCTAGTCCTTCACTGATGACATTTAATCTCCAGATTTATTCAGATCAATGCACCATGATTCTTAAGTAAAGGTAAGTGAAGTCTTTCCCCTGCACATGACACAAACATAGACCTGTTGGGCAGAAGAGACATTTCTAAATATAAGAAAATGGGCTAGAGCGATGAGCTTTACTCAATCACATATTTGCCTGTTATGAGTAGTGCTTTCAACCTAGTGCTACATACATTTAAAAATATATTTATTTTTTTTCTTACAGAGAGCTCCTGATTCACTATTTATGTATGCTTGTGTGTCGATTTCTGCCATAGGCTCCCTTTGAGGACAAATTCTAGACTAAAAACCAGTGTACTGGGCAAAGCTTGGCTAACTTGGGGAAAAGCTGTTTGACAAATTATGGAAAGGCTGATGTTTTGTGTTTTTGATTAAGTTTAGGGTTAGACAATTAGTGGTTATAGTTAAAATAAGTCATTATTCCAAAAGGTGACCTATGACAACGTGTGTGTGTGTGTGTGTGTGTGTGTGTGTGTGTGTGTGTGTGTGTGTGTGTGTCTTTAATCTGATCAGGCCATGTTACAGTTCTTCCATGAAGACTAACAACGTTGCAGAGAGAGGCAGGTTGCTGTAGGGAGAATGTGGACTCTAAAGGCCTATTCGGCTTCACATCACACAATGAACATTAGTTAGTGAGCAGCTCGGCTCTGTGGGCAAACGCTCTGAGACTGAAGGTTGTAAACAATAAAGAGGAGAAAATCACTGCCACATACACCAAAGTAATGGAAGTGGAAAAACACCGACAATATGCAACTGACAGTCCAGTCTATCTCACAGGGTTACCAGTCCTGTGCAGCATCTGATCACAGTTATGTGGCCACACACAGACATTAGACATAAAATACTTTGAATGGTTTGATAGAATTTTCAACAGAAATACTTTTTATCTGCGGGTTTGAAAAAAGTCTCAGCGTTAAAGCGTTGAGAAGTGAACAGTTTACCATTATCTTCAACATTTAACATTTAACCTAAAGACAATCCATTTTCAATAACATGGAGCAGATCTAAATAAAAAAAGAGTCCTATGCTACTGTCATTAAACAAAGCATATTTTCAGAGACATTTTGGCAGTTGAGTGGTCATCAAGACTAGAAAGTCTCTATATAAATACAGAGCATTTTTTTACGATTCACACAGAGACTTCAGGTGAGTGATATTTCGGTTAAAACCCCTGAAAGGTGCTGAGTATCACAAATTGAAGCAGCTCTGTGGCTGTGTGTGTACAGCTGCACCACTGGCAACAGTGAGGCCATTGTGCCTTCAATAGGTTTACAAAGGAGCTCATATGAGTCTATTCAGCTGAAGTGTAAATAGCCGCAATCTCCTTTTTACACACACTTACAGCACCAATATATGCACAGTCACAGACCCTCATATGTGCCTGATTATGTAGCACAGCACACACAACTCCAGTAATAGAACCCTGGCTCTCCAGCAGCAGGTCTAAAGATGGGGGCTTCCACTCCCAGGGTACACTCTTAGTTTTACAATGAATACACACTTGCCCAAGCCTAGAGCATAAGAAATTATAGCTGAATCCAACTGTACAGAATTACTATGACACCACTTAGCAATATTCTTTATAAAAAGAACCTGGGTTTCATACACATACTTTTGGACAAAAATAGTAATGGACCTTGTCAGAACTGTCTAGTTTCAAAACCAGAAAGTTCTTCTCTCAAACATTCAACACATTGTAAAACGCTTTACATTTTAATAGGTGAGCCAGTGAATCACATCTCAAACCAGAATATAGTTGTTTTTTTACCTGTCTCTACGATTGCTTATTAGTAATGAGTATTCCTTTAACAGGGTGAATGAAATACTTCTGTCCTACAGCTATTGTTTATTATGAGTATGAATCCTTTCTCCAACGACTCCCCTGCTGTTTGGTGCTTCTCTAAATGTGAAGTTTAATTGTTGTGCAGTGCAGCTTTCTCTTGGGGCTGAGCAGCAGTGGCTGCACTAACCTCGTTAACATCGACTAAGACAACAAGTAGCTCTTGGCTCCTTTTCTCTGAGCAGAAAAGACAAACAAAGAACATGGCAAGCCCAAACTGGCCAGATGTAAATGGAGCAATTTACCATCTATTTCAGCGAAGCCAGCCTCACTTTTATCTGCAGTGCCACGGAGAACAAACGAAAGGTTAATATGTGGCTCCGGGACACACATCCAGACAAGTTCTCTTTTGATCCCAGGAAACAAACAATCAGTGTGATAAAAGACCTCTGTTACACCTTCTCATACACTCTGATACATCAAGGGCTTGTTCCACAAAAAGTGAGTCACCCACACAAAACTGAACCTAATGCTTTTTTGTCATATATGCAAAATTCTGTAACCCCTTAAAACTTCTCAACAGTTTACTCTTTTTATCTGTCCATCTAATGTAACTTTTTCTTTAGAATGTGGATTGATCCAATTTTAAAATATGAGTTAGTGTGTCGGAAAAACAAGACAGTCTGTAAAATGTTCAGTATGGTGATATTGTATATTTTACAATATCACCATACTAATAATAGCTGATGCATCTGATTTCTCTGTGCCATACCGCTCCATTGTTGTCCAAAAACATATTTACAGCACATCAGTGTTGCACTGCGTGTTCCTTTTTAATAATTACAACGAAGACACATTGTTATTTTGACCCAATCCCTTACACTGTCCTGCAGCAAAACCAGACAGAAATACTTAGTGCAGCGGTAATCCTCCACTGAGTCCCTTACAAATCCTGTTCAACAAACATTTGCTGAAAACCTACTGAGACAATCTATTTCAGGAAATTACTGAGCCTGAGAAAAAAGAAATGCATCTGCCAGCTTTGTGTTGAATTTGTTTTTGATAAGAATTTCTGAGAATAAGAAAAGTACAAATTCACAACTTTTAAAAAGTCATGATGGCATGATGTGTACGGCCATACCAGGTATCATCGATGAGACTGTATTTTGGAACTGTGGGGTTTTCCATTGGAATCAAAGCCACCAGCTCATTTGTTTTTTGGTTCAATTCTCATTTTGGCATGTAAGATCTAATTGGACACTGGTATTTATTGATGATTCCACCACAAGTAAAAGGATAAAGAGGATGAGAACTAACATACATCAGTGTGATAAGGACTACTTATCAAGGAGTGCTTTTCAGCCATATCCCATCCACTAACATGAAGGAGGCAGGGTTTACAGCCTATACTGCAGCCTGCCATTGGGGGACAATCTAGATGCTTCGGCTTCACTGTTG